CCCTCCCGGGCTCCAGCTGCGCTGGGGAAGCGCCGGCCGGGGGTGCAGGGTCTGGGGGCTGCCCGGCAAACCGTGAAGCCGGTAGCGCTCAGGCAGCCCTTTCCGCATGGCTGGGAGTGGGAGGGAGGAGGGGCGGAGTTAGGGAAGGGGCGGAGTTGGGGTGGGGCTGGGGTGGGAAATGGGCGGGGCCAGGACCCCATGGAGGGTCCTCTTTTTTTATTTGTTAAGTATGGTAACCCTACCTTTGACCCATCTTCCTCCTTTTTTTTTTTAATTCTCCTTGCACAGGAATCAAACTCAGATACAGTTCCTGAACTCTCTTGAATACGATATTGGTCCCTCTTAGTGCCCCAAGGGTATTAGCCACCTCAAGGTGGATGGGGAGGAGGGGCGTGCATGCTGTATCCTCCTAAGAGGTAGTCATGCACCATGTATATTCCCCTACCTCTCTCCCACCATGCTCCAGAAGGATTGTGCTTCACTTAAGCACATTAGCATCCTTCTGCTTCTTAATCACTGTGTCTTGCTTTGCAATAAAACTATAAAAAAAACCTACTGTATGTGCATGAGGCTGAGTTATAACTTTTAGCCTCTGCCCCACACTGAGGACAATTCAGGAAGGGATTATTCTAAAAGCTATAACTGAGCATTGGGTATACAATAGAGGTTTTTTGTAACTTTACTGCAAAGCAAGACACAGCAATTAAAGAAGCAAAGGAGCTCTTGTGCTTGAGATGTTCTGAGATTCAGGAGATCTGGATTCTGTTCCTGAATCTTGCCTGTGAACTTCATCTCTCTTCCCCATTTGTAAAATGAGTATAATGTTTACCTCATATTTATCTTCACAACATCCTTATATCAGTGTTTGAGAGATGCCCAGATACTACAGTGATGGAGGCCATAGAAATACCAAGAGAGTGAACCTTACAGGTCATGATGAAATATTTGCAACAAACGTGACATTTAATTTACTCCTGTGCTAGTCATTAGTCTCTGGCAATAACTACTTGCACAGCCACACTGTTTTGTCTGAATCTATTACCACCGCTTTGGATGAACAGTAACACAAGAATTTTTTTTAAAAAGTTAATTTGTAAAGAAACTGATTTGAATAATAAATAAAACCTAGTTTCTAATGATTTAATAATTGTTTGGGGGTACTGGCCATGGTGACACATAATGTGACCACTTGTATTACAGATAAATCCTAGTCAAATGAATATAAATATATTCTGGTACTATTCAATTGGCTTGGATTTGCTTTAGAAACTACCAGTAGATAAAAAGAAATTGGTTGTGGCTTTCTGGCTCCTGGTTCTGTTTCTTGTTCTGCTACTGACTCAGTGTGGACAAATAAGGTAAATGTTTAAACTTTTCACTGCATAAAATGGGAAAATAACATTCAGTCTTAATTCATATGTTTGGATGTAAGGTGCCATATAAGTGCAAAGTGCCATTAACATTATTTATTATATACTGTCTTACAGGAAGCTCGTGCAAACTGTTTGGCAGAAGAACTGGGTGCTGCCCAAGCACGTGAAGCTCAGTTACAAGCAAAAATGCAAGCAGAGATAAAAAAGCTTTCATCAGAAATAGACTCATTAAAGGATGCTTATGAGCAGGAGGTAAAAGATAAAACTGAACTGACCCTAGCATTTTTACTGTATTGTGCTACATGGGTGTTTTCCTCCACTCAGACCAGACTAACTACAGCCTCTCCAATGCAAATATCAAAGGCATTTGAAATTTGTCCCAGGCCTCTGTGGCTTGGCCATGTCCTTTCTCCCAGTCTTCTGCATCCATCAGTGCAGACAGAGCAGCAATTTGGCACTCCCACCGTACTTGTGCTCAACAGCTTATTTTAGAACAGTAGTGAATGATCATCCAACCACCAATGCACACATTATTTCCAACTCTTTCTATCCATCTTGGGGCATTTTCTGAATGGTATCACTTATGGAACTGCTGAGTAGCCACTTTCTCCCCCTCATATTGGAGTAAGCAAAAGAAAAACCTAAGCTAAAATGGTATTCCATTAGAGAATAAGCATTCTCTGGAGCTGCAGATGGGGAACTTTGCCACAACTGCTCCCAATCTGGTGATCCTTGCTTAGCCAGGGGAAGAGGTTCTGAGTCTGGAAGGCAGATTTTGGCCTCTGTTCCTTGGCATATGAGCTGAGACTCCCCTGGAGATGCCCCCAAAACCAAGTAAGTCCTTTTCAGTACTCAACAGGCAGGTCCATCTAAGTTCCCAAGGAAGTCTTCACGGGTATTCAGGATATCCCCTCAAACCCTAAGGCCTAGCCCTGGTCTAAAAGGGAAATCTGAAGGGGATCCCTTCTCACATACTTTAATGAGTAATTGAGTCATTGGTGAAAGAATCCAACATACTATCAGACATCTACACCTTTTGGGAATAAGTGAATTCTTACGAAGACATTTGCTTGCAATATCTCTCAAAATATATTTTTGATAAAGGGGAAGATTTAAAGACCCTCACTTAGACTAGACCTTACAATTGAAAAGCCTTAACCAGAAGAAGGGGATACTGTTTCCAGAAAGGAAGATCCCCCCCCCAAAAGTCCAAAGAAAAGTAAAGAATCCAAAGCGCGCACACACAAAAAACAAACCCACTAAGAAAATGTCCAAGAGACCAACTAGGGCCTCTCTCCCTTTCCTCCTATTCTCTCTTCTGGGAAGCATGGTACAAAAACCAAAGATAATACTCATCACTCCTAATTGTCAGGGAAGGCTGTTTTCTCTTTACAGGGCCTACCCAGTACATCTTCCCTGCCAGCAGGATCTCCTATCACAGGGTCTGCTCTGACATCCAAAATCCAACTTAATTGACCCTGACAGTCTGTGTATTAAAAATCTAACCCAGATGAATACTCTTCCAAGGTGATTAAATACTGTCGTCCTCTCCTACAGCCCATCCACCTGGTCTACCTACACAAGTCTGGACAAAGTGCTCTTGGTAGTTGTTAAGAAACAGAAATTAACTCAAAGAAACCAGGCATTTCAGTTCATTTTAGATTTTCTTCTTCGATAGTCTGGACTTGAGTCTTAATTGCTTCACCGCGATGTCTCAGATCTTGAGATTTGACAGTGTTATAAATACAGGCTTATTCAAATCACTAGTGGACCATCTCTGGGGGTCCAGTTTTGTGAACCTATCCAAAACATCAGTCAGATCTATGCTTCTGGAATTCACCCTCCAGACTATAAGCCCTTGCACCTCACCCCTTTTAGCTAGAGACATCAGTCTCTTTATCATTCTTACCTAATAAAAACTGCTTCCTAATAGGAATCACATCAACAAGGCAAGTCTCAGAAATCTGTCTTACCAAGATATAAACCCTGCTACATATTCCATAAGGACAAGATTGTGTTTCATACTCACAAATCATTCTTAGCTGGAGGCAATACAGGCTTTCATCCCACACAGGAAGTCACACTGCCATCACTTTTGCCCAAACCCCAACACCAGAAAGAGAAAACATGGCACAAAATTGATGTGAGGAAAGCAATGAAGATATACTTGAAGTGAAAAAACCAATTCAGGAAATCATCCTCTATGTCCTTTCATCACAAATTTCTCGATTTAAAAAAAAATAATAATTCCACTGTTGCAATATGAATAAAATATGGCATCACAGAAACATTCTCAGCAATAGGGAAAGCTATTTTAGAGAGAATCTGAGCCCAGTCAAAACTTTCTATGGCTGCTGCTTCGTCTGAAAGAATATCAACCACCATAAAAGAAATCAATTAATATCTCCATTAATATGGCTGTCAGATACTGCAAACTGATTTGATATTCCACAGAGCCACCCTTTGGCAAGAAGCTGCCCAAGTGGGGATTCCTAAATAATCTGTTGTTTTACTATGTTTGAGGAAAGGGATTTTTGTGTCTGTCTTATCCTTCTCACCATACTACTTTTTCCTAATTGCTCACTACATCCCACATAGACTGGGCTGGGGACGAGATCTGGATGCAGAGTGGGAAGTTGACTTCTTTTTCCCCCCCAATCCACCCCACCCGGAATACATTTTCTGAGGATGGGTAAAATCATCAGGTAACAATTTTTTCTTTTTAATATTATTGCTTCTTTCTCTGTGGAGATTGGTGAAGGTCTAGCTACAATTGTTAGAAAAATAATTCCATGCAGAAATTAGGAAATATGGGACTGTAGTTAAAGTTAAAGGGTTGAAAAAAAATTCAAGAAAACTCAGAATGGCTTATTTATTTTTTCTGAAAATGTGAAAGGGGTTCCAAAATACAGATTGGCAGACTTTGCTTCAATTCCAAAAGTAGATTGCATTATTTCTGGGGGCAAATGAAACCTTCATATCCCTAGTTTCTTCTTTTTTTTTCTTCTGATTGCGCACGTGCACCCTGAGCACAGTTGCTCAATTTTTTTTCCCTCAGTGGTACCCATTGTGGCTGCTTGAGTGCCCTCTGCTGTTGCACGCTGATAGCACCGGTATAAAGCACCCAGCTGATCCCGCGCCCCCTCAGTTTCTTCTTACCGCCCGTGACGGTTGCTGGAACTGCTATCCTTGTTTTTGCAAGCTTTCTCAGTTGCCTTTTCTTCTTCTTTCTGTATCTAGTTAGTTTTAGTCAGTTTTAGCTAATTTTAATGAAGTTCTGTAACTTTGTGTTGTCCATTCCCCTATGCCAAGGCATGCTTTGATGACTGGGCTTTACGCTCTGCACCTCCTGCAACTAGGCATATGCCCCTTGCACTCAAGCTGCCTGAAGTGCCTGGGAAAAGCTCACTTTGGGAACTGTTGCCAGATCTGGAAGAACTTTAAGCCTTGCACGAAGGACCATGAGGCCAGGCTAAAATTTTTGCTCATGGAGGCAGCACTGAGACCTCCATCTGAGCCAGGGCGGTCAGACTTGGCACCAAGTGGCTTGCCGTTGGTAAGGAGTGCGCCTCCTACCATATTGGAGTCCCGGCACTGAAGATGGCCAGGCATGGGGATTAGAGTAGAATGCAATCTAAACCAAATACTCTTCTGTCTTGGTACCGCAGAAGTTAGCACCATTGACTCTGGCACCTATGCAGGCACTGTCAAGTCCAGTACTGGAAGAGCTGTTTACATCTGCGGCACAGCACAGTACTGATACTACCTCGGGACCAACCACATGGCGTGTGCTGCTGCCAGAGAATTTCTTTTGCAGTTGGTACTGGTATTACTGGCAATACAAGATTCAGTGTTGCTGGTGCCTAATGGACAGGAGGGAACCCACTGGATCCTGTCATCGTTTGGTACCATGCCCTTCAGTACTGTCAAAAGGGAAACCATGGCACCGGTCTCTGGCACTGGTAGGAATGGCACCACCATGGTCACTGGGGAGAGAGACTGAATCGGAGGTTGGGTCTTACTCCTCCAAGAAGCCTCTTTCTAGCTACTCCTCCAGGCATTTCCATCCTTCCATGCATCCAGACACAGGAGTACCATCGAGTGCATGGTCAGGAGGTCACTGGGGACCTACGCCAGTCCAGTGGTCCTTTTGGAACCCTGGGGTTTTCCCCAGTTTCCAGGGCTTATTCCAGGGGCACCTGTTGGGTGACCTCGGAAAGAAGGGCGTTCTCATCCTCTTGGACAGCGCCTGGTCTGGACTCTGGTACTGACCCCGGAGCCAAACTGCATGAACCAGCTCAACCAGATCCTGCTGAGTAAGAAAGAGAAGAAGAGCTTCATGCAGAAATGAGGAAATATGGGACTGCAGTTAAAGTTAAAGGGTTGGGAAAAAAAAAAAACTTCAAGAAAACTCAAAATGCTGGTGTTGGCCTCCTCCCCTGATGAAGCAGTCTCAGGAGAAGGTGTGTTGCCTCCCCTGAATGATGATAAGGCTCACCAAGAGTTATTGAAGAGGGTGGCCTTAAGTCTGGGTATACAGGTAGAGAAAGTCCTCCCATAGCCTGGTTGACATTTTAGCCACTGCGAGCCTTTCAAAAGTAGCTCTGCCTCTCAATGAGGCCATTATGAAACCTGTTAAGACCTGGTAGCAGACCCCCATGTCCCTTCCCCCCATGTCAAAAAGGGTTGAACAAAAATACTTTGTTCCTGCCCAGGGTTATGAGTTCCTGTACACCCTTCCCCCCCCCCAGGATCCCTGATGGTAGCTGCTGCCAATGAGAGAGAAAGGCGGGGTCAACAGGGTGCAACCCCAAAAATCAAAAGACTCAAAGAAATTAAACTTGTTCAGTAGGAAAGTTTATTCTCCTGGGGGGTTACAACTCAGAACTGCAAACCAGTAGGTGCTGCTGGGAAGGTATGATTTTAATATGTAGGACTCCTTGCAGAAGTTCAAGAACTTGCTCCCACAAGAGACTATGCAAGAGTTCTTACTGGTGGACAAGGGAAAAAAATCAGTGATGAGGACCTTGTTGTAAGCTGCTTTGGATGCAGCTGACTCAGCAGCCAGGTCCATGGCTTTGGCAGTGGTCACATGCAGGAGTTCGTGGCTACAGTCCTCAGGACTCCAACAGCACCTATCTTTCGAAGGAGCTTCACTCTTTTCAGAATACACTGATGCGAAACGGCATGGTCTGAAAGACTCCAGGGTGACCCTTAAATCCCTTGGATTATACACCCCTGCTCCTTCAAGGAAGCCCTACAGACCTCAACAGCCATCTGGTATGACATCCTTGGCTGTATGTCATGATCTGCAGAGAGAGAGAAGCAGAGATTTTAGGCATAGGCCACCACCCCCTTCTACCTCAGTGTCAATGCCTGCCCCACCCAGTCATCCAGGGGGTTCTAAGCAGGCATTTTGATGGGATGCTCGAGGACACCATACCAGTTCCCGTGATGCCAGACCCTGTTTCGCCTTTATTTGCAAATTGCCTTTTCTCAGTGCTTGGTCCCGTATCGCCACGGACCATTGGGTGTTGAGCACTGTGGGATTGTGATGCACCCTCCAGTTTATTTCTACCCTTCCTTCCCACTTTCCCTTCCTGTTTCTTCAGGGACCCCTCTCACGAAGAGCTTCTGGTTTGGGAGGTTCATTCTCTTCTTCGGCTGGCTGAGGTGTGGAATTTAAAAGTGAAGGGGTTTTATTCCTGTTATTTCCTAATCCCAAAAGCTAAAGGCGGTCTCAAACCCATTTTAGACCTGCGGCGGCTCAACAATTATCTCAAGAAAATAAAGTTCTTCCTGGTCACCCTTGTATCCATTATCCCCTCCCTGAATCCCAGGGATTGGTACGCCGCCCTTAGGAGATACCTGTTTTCATATATTGATATACCAAGGACGCAATGTTCCTCAGATTCGTAGCGAACCATTCACACTACCAATTCACAGTTCTCCCATTCGGTCTGTCTGCGGCTCAGCAGGTGTTCACAAAATGCATGGTGGTAGTGTCAGCTTTCCTCAAGAAGTTAGGGGTGCAGGTCTACCCTTATCTAAATTATTGACTAGTTAAGGGCCAGTCCAGGGCTCAGGTAATATCCAACGTTCAACTCATTCAGTCAACCTCGGTCCCTAGAAAAATCATGCAACAGGTCCTCAAGGAATTCAGTTTGAAGCACTTGGAGGAGAGGAAAGTGATCAGGAACAGTCAACATGGATTCACCAAGGGCAAGTCATGCCTGACCAACCTGATTGCCTTCTATGATGAGATAACTAGCTCTGTGGATATGGGGAAGGTGGTGGACGTGATATACCTTGACTTTAGCAAAGCTTTTGCTATGGTTTCCCACAGTATTCTTGTCAGCAAGTTTAAAAAAAAGTATGGATTGGATGAATGGACTTTAAGGTGGATAGAAAGCTGGCTAGATCATCTGGCTCAACGGGTAGTGATCAATGGCTCGGTCTAGTTGGCAGCCAGTATCAAGCAGAGTGCCCCAGGGGTCGGTCCTGGGGCCAATTTTGTTCATTATCTTCATTAATGATCTGGATGATGGGATGGATTGCACCCTCAGCAAGTTCGCGGATGACACTAAGCTGGGGGGAGAGTGAGATAAGCTGGAGGGTAGGGATAGGGTCCAGAGTGACCTAGACAAATTGGAGGTTTGGGCCAAAAGAAATCTGATGAGGTGCAACGAAGATAAGTGCAGAGTCCTGCACTTAAGATGGAAGAATCCCATGCAATGCTACAGGCTGGGGACTGGCTGACTAAGCGGCAGTTCTGCAGAAAAGGACCTGGGGATTACAATGGACAAGGAGTTGGCTAGGAATCAACAATGTGCTCTTGTTGCCAAAAAGGCTAACAGCATATTGGGCTGCATTAGGAGTATTGCCAGCAGATTGAGGGACGTGATTATTCCCCTCTATTCGGCACTGGTGAGGCCACATCTGGAGTATTGCGTCCACTTTTGGGCCCCCCACTACAGAAAGGATGTGGACAAATTGAAGAGAGTCCAGCTGAGGGCAGTGAAAATGATTAGGGGGCAGGGGCACATGACTTATGAGGAGAGGCTGAGGGAACTGTGCTTATTTAGTCAGCAGAAAAGAAGAGTGAGGGGGGATTTGATGGTAGCATTCAACAACCTGGAGGGGGTGGAGCTAGTCTGTTCTCAGTGGTGGCAGATGACAGAACAAGAAGCAATGGTCCCAAATTGCAGTGGGGGAGGCCTAAATTGGCTGTTAGGAAACACTATTTCACTAGGAGGGTGGTGAAGCACTGGAATGGGTTACCTAGGGAGGTGGTGGAATCTCCATCCTGAGAGGTTTTTAGGGCCCAGCTTGACAAAGCCCTGGCTGGGATGATTTAGTTGGGGTTGGTCCTGCTTTGAGTAGGGGGTTGGACTAAATGACTTCCTGGAGTCTCTCCCAACTCTAATCTTCTATGATTCTATGAACATTCAAGGCCGTATGGCTTCTGATAAATGCAGAAAAATCTACCTTCACTCCAGTGCAGAGGATAGAGTTAATTGGGGCAGTGTTTGATTCTACTCAAACCAGGATCTCCCTCCCAGAAACTTGGCTGTTCTCACAGACAACACTGCAGCCATGTTTTACCTCAACTGGTCAGGGGGAGCTCGCTCTTCCCTCTTCTGTCATGAAGCAATGCAGCTATGGGACTTTTGCATAGCCCACTCAATCAACCTCGAAGCCTCTTACCTTCTGGGAATGCAAAATGAGTTGGCAGATCACCTCAGTGGATCTTTTCCAGTCACTACATGTGGTCTTTGTGTCCAGATATGGCAAGAGACATTTTCCAGTAATGGGGGACTAAGACAGGTCTATTTGCAAACAGGTACAACAGGAGTTGTCCCCAATTGTGCTCCTTATAGGAACACAGTCCAGGTTCTATCACGGATGCCTTTCTACTATCATAGATGGAACATCTTTATTATGTGTTTCCCCCCCCTCCCCCCCTTTTCCGCTGGTGCACAGAGCTCTGCTAACGATTAAGCAAGACCAGGTTAATCAAATAGGCCCATCATGGGCGTGCCAATACTGGTTCTCCACTCTTCTAGATCTCTCAGTGGCAACTCCAATTGTGCTTCTGTTTCACCTGGACCTGATTTCCCAGGACCATGGTCAGCTGCTCCACCCGAACCTGAACTTTCTTCATATAATGGCTTGAAAGCTTCATGGCTAAATCCCAGAGAGCGGGATTGCTCAGAGCAAGTTTGTCAGGTCCTACTAGGTAGTAGAAAGCCCTCCAACAGAGCTACTTAACCTCTTGAAGTGGAAATGATTCTCTGTTTGGGCGTCCCAACATAGTGTCTTACCCACGCGTTCGTCCATACAAGACATACTTGAGTATCTACTACACCTGAAACAGCAAGGCTTAGCAATCTCCTTTATCAAGGTTCACCTTGCAGTAATATCCAGCACTTCAGCCAGAAGGGTCTCAGAACTCTATGCCCTCACATCGGAGCTTCTGTACACAGTCTTCTTTAAGAATAAGATGTATTTTTGTCCTCACCCCAGTTGCCCCCCAAAAGTGTTTTTGTAATTTCATAGCAATCTGGCAGTCTGTCTACCTGATTCTACCCGAAGCTTGACATTAGACAAGCCTTAGCATTCTACATTAAAAAAGAACTACACCATTCGGAAAGTCTACCCAACTGTTCATAGCTGTGGCTGACAGGATGAAAGGCATCCCAATCTCTTCACAGAGAATTTTATCCTAGATTATTTAATGTATTTGCTCTTGTTACGATCAGGCAGATGTTTCGCCAATAGCTGTCCTGACTGCTCATTCCACAAGGTTGCAAGCATCCTCCGCAGCATTCATAGTTCAGATCTCCATTCAGGACATTTGTAAAGCAGTGACCTGGTTATTGGTGTGCACACCTTCTCCTCCCAGTACACCATCACTCAGCATTCCAGAGATGATGCCAAATTTGGCCAAGGTGGGGGGGTGTGGGTGTGTGTGCGCGAACTCTGATTCCTCCACCTATTCAACTGCTTGCGAGACACCTGTGCAGTCACTCGAAGGGGGGAAAAAGTTACTAACCTTCCATAACTGTTGTTTTTCAAGATGTGTTGCACATACACATTCCATGACCTGCCCTCTACATTGGAGTTTTTTAGAAAGAAGGAACTGAGGGGGCATGGGATCAGCTGGGCGCTTTTATACTGGCACTAAAAGCATGCAGCAGCAGAAGGCGCTCAAGCTGCCCTGACCAGTACCACTGAGGGGGAAAAAATTTCTGGCAACTGCTCGGGGCATGCACCTACCTAGAGTGGAATGAACATGTGCAACACATTTTGAAGAACAACAGTTAATGAAGGTTAGTAACCATTTTTTCTTAGTCAAATCCTGAAGGGCTGTCAAACACCCTGATGTGTTAATGGTGATGAGTTTTGAAATTGTTACTTGGACCCCTTCCAGTCTATACATATATTATGTGAAATGAGAAAGAATAGTATTAAAGTTGGCATAAAACAAAATCTGTATAATGTTTTCACTTTATTTCTTAAAACTTCTAGAAGCTTGCACATCAGACAAATCAGGAAAGGTGGCAGATGTCAACAGACAGCCAGAAATCTGGCTCTCATCATCTAAGTGGACAATTGCAGCAGCTGAAGCAGGAGTTAGAAGAGGCTCAGGACACTGTCAATAATCTTCAGCAACAACTTCAGGCTAGAAATGAAATGGTTCAAGCTGCAAATGAAGCACTGCTTGTGAAGGTGGGTTAACATAGCAATGTGTTGTACGTGAGACATATTAAGGCGTCGGGGGGCAAAAACAAAGGCTTCCTTATGCCAACAAATTAATTACCCTCTTTTGCCTCATTTGTTTTTACAAGGAATGAGAAGTACCTAAAAGAGTTATTGTATAGGCCTAGAGTTTTACTCTGCCATGTGGAAGAACTGGATTTGAGAGCAGCAGGTGGATTACACAATGCTGTATGAGTGGATTGTGTCAGAGCAGTTCAGTCCACAATGAATTAATATACATCTACATATCTTATAACTCAGCCATTTTGTTTTATGCAAAAATGTCTTTATAAAAGACCAATTTTGTGTTTTACAAATGTAAAAATTCTTAAGGAAATACAGTATTGTGAATATATACTGTAATAATAATAGTCCGTGTAACCCTGTGACAGGGTGCGACTCACCATTGCGGCGCCTCTTGTTGGCTATCTTGGGAATTAGCTCTGTGCCCTCTTCTGGTGGCATCTTGCCACCATCACTTCTGCTGCGGGGACCCAGATGACTCCTAGGTCTGCGGCATCTTCTTCATTACACAGCCCTCTGGCTGTGCCGCACTAGCTTCTGCCCCCTTCTGGGGGAACAGCAGTCCGTTGTGAAGCCACTTCCTGAGTAGGGACAAGGGGGGACCTGGGCCCGCCCACTACTCCAGGTCCCGGCTCAGGGACCCTGTAGATGACAGCATCCACTCCAACCTCTGTCTATTTCTCTGGGTCACTTCCCCACAGTCTTAGCACCTTATCCGCCGTTGTGTCAGGCCTCAGCATGCCAGCAGTCAGCTGGGAACTCACTCTCGCTCCTCTGACCCCGCCCAGCACTGCTCTGTCCAAGATATTCGCTTCTTCCTCCTGCAAGGCAGCCAGTGCTCCCTCCTTGAGCTACAGGGAGCTACTGAAGCTGCTCTTTTCTGCAGTCCTCCTTATATGGGCCAGCCTGGCCCTGACTGGCTGCTCCTCGCAGCCCCTCTCTGATTGGCTGACTCCTGTGCAGCCTCCCAAGGGCTCTATTAACCCCTTATGGGCCAGTCTGGGCTAGATGCCCAATCACAAACCCCCATCTCTTTTAATTAGCTATAAAAAGATCATTCAGCTATGCCATACAGGGTGTGTCTACACTACGAAATTAGGTCGATTTTTTAGAAATCGATTTTATACAGTCAATTGTGTGTGTCCCCACTAAGCGCATTAAGTCGGCGAAGTGCATCCACAGTACAGAGGCTAACGTTGACTTTCGGAGCATTGCATTGTGAGTAGCTATTCCACAGTTCCCGCAGTCTCCGCCGCCCATTGGAATTCTGGGTTGAGCTCCCAATGCCTGATGGGGCAAAATCATTGTCGCTGGTGGCTTTGGGTACATGTTGTCAGGCCCCCCTCCCTCCGTGAAAGCAACAGCGACCAATTGTTTCTCGCCTTTTGTCTTGGGTTACCCGTGCAGACGACATACCTCGGCAAGCATGGAGCCCGCTCAGCTCACTGTCACTGTATGTCTCCTGGGTGCTGCTGGCAGACGTGGTACTGCATTGCTACACAGCAGCAGCTCCTTGCCTTCACGGCAGCTGACGGTGCAGTACAACTGCTAGCCATTGTCGTCGTCGTCTGCTGGGTGCCTGGGCAGACATGGGCGCTCTTGGCAGACCTCAGTGAAGTTGGTCAGGGGCACCTGGACATAAATGGGAGTGACTTTAGGTCATTCTCTTCAAGTTTTGTCTCATGGAGATTCAGTCCTGCCTGGAATATCATACGAGCTGGAGGCTTCTGCTTCAGGCTGTTCTCTCAGCCAGCAGCACCGCACAGTCGCACCTACCCCAGCCTACCCCTTGCTCCCATGGCTCATGAAGCCTGTCAGTAGTAAGGAACAGTTCAACTATAGGCTGAGCAAGTGCAGAATGGTGGTAGAATGTGCCTTTGGACGTTTAAAAGCTCGCTGGCGCTGTTCACTGACTAGGCTGTCTGTGATTAGAAGAGCAAGCAAGGTGCACTGCACATCACAGAGGCTTTGAAAACTAGTTTCATGACTGGCCAGGCTTCGGTGTGACAGTTCTGTGTGTGTTTCTCCTTGATGCAAACCTGCCCCCCTTTGTTGGTTTTTAATTCCCTGTAAGCCATGTCATCACTCACCGTGAGAGCAACGGCAGACAATCATTTTACGCCTTTTTTCCGCGCAGATGCCATACCACGGCAAGCGTGCAGCCCGCTCAGCTCAGCCGCTGCTGTTGTGTCCTGGGTGCTGCTGGCAGCAGACGGTGCAGTAGGACTGCAAACTGTCGTCATCGAACGACCTGCTTCCACTGCCACTCTGCTCTTCTGCAGACGCCATACCACGGCAAGCATGGAGCCCGCTCAGATCACCGCAGCAGTTATGAGCACTGTAAACACCACTCGCATTATCCTGCAGTATATGCAGCACCAGAAACTTCAAAAGCATGCGAGGTGGCAACGGCAGCACGGTGACGAGAGTGATGAGGACATGGACACAGACTTCTCTCAAAGCACGGGCCCTGGCAATTTGGACATCATAGTGGTAATAGGGCAGGTTCATGCTGTGGAACGCCGATTCTGGGCCCAGGAAACAAGCCCAGATTGGTGGGACCGCATAGTGTTGCAGGTCTGGGATGATACCCAGTGGCTGCGAAACTTTCGCATGCGAAAGGGCACTTTCATGGAACTTTGAATTGCTTTCCCCTGCCCTGAAGCGCAAGAATACCAAGATGAGAGCAGCCCTCACAGTTCACAAATGAGTGGCGATAGCCCTCTGGAAGCTTCCAACGCCAGACAGCTACCGGTCAGTCGGGAATCAATTCGGAGTGGGCAAATCTACTGTGGGGGCTGCTGTGATCCAAGTAGCCAACGCGATCACTGACCTGCTGCTATCAAGGGTAGTGACTCTGGGAAATGTGCAGGTCATAGTGAATGGCTTTCCTGCAGTGGGATTCCCTAACTGTGATGGGGCGATAGATGGAATGCATATCCCTATCTTGGGACCGGAGCACCAAGGCAGCCAGTACGTAATCCAAAAGGGGTACTTTTCAATGGTGCTGCAAGCATTGGTGGATCACAAGGGACGTTTCACCAACATCAACATGGGATGGCTGGGAAAGGTACATGACACTCGCATCTTTAGGAACTCTGGTCTGTGTGAACGGCTGCAGCAAGGGACTTACTTTCCAGACGAGAAAATAACCGTTGGGGATGTTGACATACCTATAGTTATCCTTGGGGACCCAGCCTGCCCCTTAATGCCATGGCTCATGAAGCCATACACAGGCACCCTGGACAGTAGTCAGAAGCTGTTCAATGATTGGCTGAGCAAGTGCAGAATCGTGGTAGAATGTACATTTGGACGTTTAAAAGCTAGCTGGCGCAGTTTACTGACACGGATAGACCTCAGCGAAACCAATATTCCCATTGTTATTACCGCTTGCTGTGTGCTCCACAATATCTGTGAGAGTAAGGGAGAGACATTTATGGCGGGGTGGGAGGTTGAGGCAAATCACCTGGTTGCTGATTACGCGCAGCCAAACACCAGGGCAGTTAGAGCACAGCAGGGCGCGCTGTGCATCAGAGAAGCTTTGAAAACCAGTTTCATGACTGGCCAGGCTACGGTGTGAAAGTTCTGTTTGTTTCTCCTTGATGAAAACCCACCCCCTTGGTTCACTCTACTTCCCTGTAAGCCAACTGCCCTCCCCTCCCCCCCTTCTATCGCAGTTTGCAGAGGCAATAAAGTCCTTGTTTCAAATTGATGCATTCTTTATTAATTCGTCACACAAATGGGGGGATAACTGCCAGGGTAGCCCAGGAGGGGTGGGGGAGGAAGGAAGCACCGGGTAGGGTGGCGGAGGAGGGAAGGACAAGGCCACACTACACTTCAAAACTTATTGAATGCCAGCATTCTGTTGCTTAGGCAGCCCTCTGGGTTGGAGTGGTTCTTGGGCGTCTGGGTAAGGAGGCTATGGAACTTGGGGAGGAGGGCGGTTGGTTACACAGGGGCTGCAGCGGCGGTCTGTGCTCCTGCTGCCTTTCCTGCACCTCAGCCATACACCAGAGCATATCAGTTTGATCCTCCAGTAGCCTCAGCATTGCTTTCTGCCGCCTCTCATCATGCTGACACCACCTATCATCTTGATCCCGCCACCTCTCCTCTCGTGAGTCCCTCCTGTCCTTGTGTTCATTTTGTGCTTTCCTGCACTCTGACATTGTCTGCCTCCACACATTCTGCTGGGCTCTTTCAGTGTGTGAGGACTGCATGAGCTCAGAACATTTCATCGTGAGTGCGTTTTTTGTTGTTGTTGTTGTGTTTTTTTTGCCTTCTAATTTTCACTAGCCTCTGGGACGGAGATGATAGAGGGAGCGTTGAAACATTTGCAGCTGCGTGAGGGGAAAAAAAAAGGAGTAGAGAGTAGTATTTTAAAAGACACATTTTAGAGAACAATGAGTAGACTCTTTCACGGTGAACCAAGCTGTTAACATTACATAGCACGTGTGCTTTCTTTACAAGGTCGCATTTTGCCTCTTATATTGAGGGCCTGCCAGTTTGGTGTGAGAGATCACACGCAGGGCCGGCGGGCAACAGAATTCAGCTTGCAGGCAGACATGGTAAGCCACAGTCTTTTGGTTTCTTTAACCTTCATAACATGTCGGAATGGTTTCAGCGCCCTCATTTCCCATACCAAGCACCTGTTGGGTTGGCCATTTAAAAAGAGGGGCTGCGGTTTTTGGGTTAACGTGCAGCACACACCCAACTAAACCCCCCATGCACAACCAGTTCTCTGGGATGATCGCTTCATCCCTCCCCCAACTGTGTGGCTAACAGCAGGGATGATTTCTGCTCAGCCAAAGGCAAACAGCCCAGGAGGAATGGCCACCTCTGAATGTCCTCTTAATAAAATTCCCCTGTTTCAACCAGGTGACCATGAATGATATCATTCTCCTGAGGATAACACAGAGAGATAAAGAACGGATGTTGCTTGAATGCCA